CACGGATGTACACACTTTCTAAACGCTTCGCTAGTGCTCGCCATAGTAGGAAAGAAAAAGCTCTTACTTTGCTTTTTGGAATGCACGCTTCAAACAGACCGGTCAGTGAAGACGAAGAAGAGAATGATGTGTGCTCCCGGCGCCTATTTATACTATAGTCGCACCGGTAGTGACGTCATGGCTGTCGCCGGCCAACGAGTTGGTGTTTTTTCAATGTATGCTTCAGACACGGGTCACGACGAGGCGTTCCCCATAGCGACCCCTAGAGGACGCAGTTCGAAGTTCCCATGAAAGGGAATCATTCGATTCTGGGGTTATTAATTCTACATTTAAGCAGTTTTATTCTGATTTATATCATTCTGAATATTCTCCTCATCAACATACTGCTATGAAAACTTTTTTTTGATAGCTTAACACTCCCTAGTATATCTGATGAACAAAGAACGGTCATGAATGCCCCCATTTCAAAGGAGGAAGCCTTAGTGGCTTTACGTAGGTTGCAATCCGGTAAGTCTCCAGGTCCGGATGGTCTAGGGAGCGAAGTGTATAAAGAGTTTGAGCACTTGTTAATAGATCCCTTATTAGCTATGTATGACCATTCTTTTATGATGAGTAAGTTGCCTCAGTCACTTAGAGAGGCCAATATCTCTCTTGTTTTAAAAAAAGGGAAAGACCCGGAGGAATGTGGGTCCTACAGACCAATTTCTTTGTTGAACATAGATACGGTCATGAATGCCCCCATTTCAAAGGAGGAAGCCTTAGTGGCTTTACGTAGGTTGCAATCCGGTAAGTCTCCAGGTCCGGATGGTCTAGGGAGCGAAGTGTATAAAGAGTTTGAGCACTTGTTAATAGATCCCTTATTAGCTATGTATGACCATTCTTTTATGATGAGTAAGTTGCCTCAGTCACTTAGAGAGGCCAATATCGCTCTTGTTTTAAAAAAAGGGAAAGACCCGGAGGAATGTGGGTCCTACAGACCAATTTCTTTGTTGAACATAGATTTAAAGCTGCTCTCCAAAATCCTCGCATTACGATTGGAGAAAATACTTCCATCTTTAATTGATGAAGACCAAACAGGCTTCATTAAGGGTAGAAGTTCTAGTAACAACATTAGACGGCTTTTTAATGTCCTTGAGCTATGATAATTGCAATATTGACACCCTTATCTTATCTTTAGATAAGATCTTTAGAAGATCTTAGAAGGCCTTCAACTAGGGCTGTCGCGATAACCGCAATATCGCAATACCGTGCTATTGATGAGCAAACCGCAGAGGAATGCAAGAACCGCAGCAACCGCGATTTTTGCCGGTTTTATTTTTTCGTAAGGTTATGCCCTTCTCGTTTTACACTTCATGCATGTGGACTGAATATTAAACAAGTTAGTAATGATAACATAATGTGCACCATGCTGATTTGTACAGAGGCTCCTTAGATTTGCACTTAACAAGCCTAAACAGACAGTGAATGAGAGAGAGATCGACTGAAAAAACGATATAAATACTGTTCAGTTTCTTGCACAGACCGATTGTTTTGTGTCTGTTATTATAATAATGATTTGCGCACTATCATTATTATAATAGGATGTATTATTGATAAACTGTAATCCAGTATAAAAAAATCAAAACGACGGTGGCGGGTAGGGCTGTCGCGATAACCGCAATATCGCAATACCGCGCTATTGACGAGCAAACCGCAGAGGAATGCAAGAACCGCAGCAACCGCGATTTTTGCCGGTTTTATTTTTTCGTAAGGTTATGCCCTTCTCGTTTTACACTTCATGCATGTGGACTGAATATTAAACAAGTTAGTAATGATAACATAATGTGCACCATGCTGATTTGTACAGAGGCTCCTTAGATTTGCACTTAACAAGCCTAAACAGACAGTGAATGAGAGAGAGATCGACTGAGCGCGTGCGATTACTTGCGTCTGTCCTCCAGGCAGAGTCATATATATTTGTGAAAATAGGTTGTCATGTCCAAGGAAAGCGAAATCTCTGTCTTAGCATCGACGCATAGCTGGTCAGCTGAGCCTTCTAAAGTGGCGCTCAAAGTTAAAATGATTTCAACAGCGTGTTTCATTACGTCTCTTTGAATGAATGAATCAGCATTTTTGAACGTGTAATTGAATGACAGTCACGTTCCACCACCTTGTGGCGCAACACTGTAACTACACTAACTGACAGACCGTCTAGAACACGCGCAGGTGGAAATATCAATAGAAAGTATCTTGTCCAGTCAGATTAGAAAATCAGATTACAACTAGGCTAACTGTTATACATATAGGCTAACGATAGCCTAACGATCTTATTGTCAGGTTTATGTTCTGTTATGTGGACCGTTATTTTGTCATTCTCTTCTGTTTACTTCACTTCCTGTTTCAACGCTATTTGGTTTATATATATGTTTAGATTATATATATGTGTGTGTGTGTGTGTGTGTGTGTGTGTGTGTGTGTATATATATATATATATATTTATTTATTTATGCCGGTAAAACCGCATACCGCGCTATTGAGCCACTCAAAATTACCGCAAGGGAAATTCCCTCACCGCGACAGCCCTACCTTCAACCGTGTGGAGTGGCCTTATTTATTTTACAGTCGAGAAAGGTTTGGCCTTGGTGACTTTATTCGTTGGGTTCGTTTACTTTATTCCGCACCTACTGCAGCCGTAGTTACTAATGGTTACAGGTTGGACAACTTTCCTCTGTTTTGGGGCACTAGACAGGGTTGTCCCCATTTCCCGTTGCTTTTTGCTTTAGCGATAGAGCCGCTGGCTCAGGCAATTAGAGGAGAGACGACCGTGTCTGGGGTGTCGGTAGGTGCTAAAGAGCATAAAATCTCCCCTTATGCCGATGATATTATGCTTTATCTTTCAAATTTGAATCTTCAGTGCCAAGTTTAGTAGATATTATTAATTAATTTGGGAATTTCTCAGGGTATAAAATTAATTTCTCCAAATCTGTTGCTTTGCATTTAAGACACCCAAGAACACGTGCAATTAATATTCTTCCTTTCCATTTAAGATTTCGGAATCTGGTTTTACATATTTAGGAATTAATATTACCCCCATGATCTATCAATTGTCCAAAGTCAATTTTATCCCACTGTTGGATAAAATTCGTAACAATCTAATTATATGGTCAGATCTTCCTCTCTCCTGGCTTGGCAGGATTGCTGTAGGTAAGATGAATATAATGCCCAGGCTTCTTTATCCACTACAGATGATACCAATCTTATTGCCGAATAAAAGAATTAAGGAATTAAACGGATGGCTTAGTTCATTTATATGGAATAAGCGGAAGCCAAGACAAAAATTTTCTAAATTGCTTCGGGGGTCTTAGATTTGCCAAATCTGTTAGAAAATACCAATTGGCCTGTCAGCTCAGATTCATAGCCGAATGCCTTAAAGGGGTAATTGGATGCCCATTTTCCACAAGTTGATATGATTCTTTAGGGTCATCTGATGAAATGGCGCATGTTGCGTTCCCAGATGAACGTTATAATAAACCCAAACTCACAACAACATGCAGAGATGGAGTTTGAGACGCTCCACACATGTAAATGATAACAGTTCCTGTGGAACTACTGTGAACGGATACGCTGTGTGACGCACGTACTTAACCTACACGCAAATAAATAATTAAAGCGCATATACTGTATCAGAACGGCATTGCATATAATTAATTAAATCGTAGCGTTTGTGAATTCACAATTATGTTTAATTATGATTTTTTAAATGGGTTTAATATATCATGCACTGTTTCCCACCTTGGGAAACAGTCTAATAATGTGTTTTATGGATTCTCGTCTGTGAAATGCGCCACTTCCGGTCTTTTGCCGGTTAGTCGACGCGAGCAAAATGAAGTCGAGGATTTTTAAAAATCGAATAGTCTAATAAAATAGAGTAATAATATAGAATACAGGGGGATTTATAAGTATTTTTTTTAGTACTTTTTGTAGTAGTTTTTGACCAGAAACACCACAGGTGTAACAAGGTGGGGAAAAATCCCAAAAAGTAAATAAATTATGAATCTTTTGGGGAATTGTTATATCTTGTGTGAGCAAAGTCAGTAAGTTTTAGTGCAATGTGATAACTAGCATTTAAAGAAAAATCCTCTGTGGGTCAAAATGAGAGAACACAACACGAGGGGAATCCTGTTGTTTTGCCCTACTTAAGATGTAGGTCTCATTTCCAGGTCGGTAATATAAAATACTAGATATGTTCTTTCTTTCTTTTTTTTTTTTTAACCCATTTGAACTTGACATTGCTTTTTCTCTCTTGGGGTGAAAGGTCAGGGAATGGCCATGAACAGGAACCCAATGGGTGGAAATACCACAACAGCAGGGGCTTCCAGCTTGGCTTCTAGTGAGGTATAGATTTCTCAACGCACATTGATAACTTTCAGTTA